CTACGGGTCATTTCTTCGTGGCTAAGGGTCATTTCCTTCGTGGCTAAGGGTCATTTCCTTCGTGGCTAAGCGTTATTTCTTAGTGGCGAGGGGTTATTTCTTCGTGGCTAAGGGTCATTTCTTCGTGGCTAAGGGTCCGTTAGGTTTTAGGGTCTGCTGGGCCTTGGGCTTTAGGATTTCACTGGGCCTTGGGCTTTAGGTTTTAGGGCCTACTGGGCCTTGGGTTGGGCCTTGGGCTTTAGGTTGAAGGTAGGCCTTCAGCTTTTGGTTTTAGGGTCTACTGGGTCTTGGGCTTTAGGATTTCACTAACCCTTGGGCTTTAGGCGTTAGGGGCTACTGGCCTTGGGCTTTAGGTTTTAGGGCCTACTGGGCCTTGGGCTTTAGGTTTTAGGGGCCTGCTGGGCCTTGGGCTTTAGGTCTACCGGGCCTTGGGCTTTAGGTTTTGGGCCTTGGACTTTAGAATTTAGGGGCCACTGGCCTTGGGCGTTAGGTTTTCGGGCAAACTGGGCCTTGTTGGGCTTTGTGTTTTTGGAGCCTACTCGGCCTTGGGCTTTACGATTTAGGCCACTGGCCTTGGGCTGCCTACTGGGCCTAGGGCTTTAGGTTTTAGGGCCGACTGAGCCTTGATTTTAAGGGCTCACTGGGCCTTGGGCTTTAGGTTTTAGGGCCTACCCGGCCTTGGGTTTTAGGGTTTACGGCCAAGTGGCCTTGGGCTTTCGGTTTTAGGGCCTACTGGGCCTTGGGCTGGAGGATTTGCGGGCCTACTGGGCCTTGGGCTGTAGGATTTAAAGGCCTACTGGGCCTTGGGGTTTAGGATTTAGTTGTGACTGGCCTTGGGCTTTAGGTTTTAGGGTTTATTGAGGGCCTTGGGCTTTAGGATTTAAGGGCGGCTGAGCCTTTAGGTTTTCGGGCCTACTGGGCCTTGGGCTTTAGGGTTTAGGGCCACTGGCCCTGGGCTTCAGAATTTAGGGGCTGCTGGGCTTTGGGCTTTCGGGTTTAAGGCCTATTGGGCCTTCGGCTTTAGGGTTTAGGGCCACTGGCCTTGGGCTTTAGGCGTTAGGGGCCACTGGCCTTGGGCTTTAGGATTTAGGGGGTAGCCTTGGGCTCTAGGGTTTCCTACTGGGCCTTGGACAAAAGGTTTAGGAGTGTTTTGCTTAGTGGTGCGTTTGGGGCTTATCATTTTGATTAAAAGAAATTAGGAAACTAAAATATTTTCCTAATGTTATGGGATCCAATGGGTGGGTGTAGATTTTCAATACCAGAGAGCTTGACTAGTGAATGCTTGGGCATGAGATGCTGAACCCTAAACTCTCTCTATCACATATATATATATATATTTAAACCTTAATGGCGTGGCCATTGGCAAAAAAACCGTGGCATTGGCAAAAAAACCGTGGCATTGGCAAAAAAACCGTGGCCATTGGCAAAAAAGCCGTGGCCATTGGCAAAAAAGCCGTGGCCATTGGCAAATTCGCCAATGGCCACGGGAAAGTTGCCGATGGCCACGGATTTTTTGCCAATGGCCACCAATGCCATTAAGGTTGGTCGCCGAAATGGGTTTTTAAACCCAATTCGCACAAAATACCCCCCCAGCCTTAATGGGGAACGTTGCCATTGACAAAAAAGCCGTGGCCATTGGCAACTTTTCGGGCTTTTTGCCAATGGCCACGGTTTTTTTGCCAATGGGGCCATTGGCAAAAAAGCCGTGGCCATTGGCAAAAAAGCCGTGGCCATTGGCAAGTGGCATTTGCCAATGGCCATAATGGCCACGGCTTTTTTGCCAATGGCCACGATTTTTGGCCAATGGCCACGACCCCCCCCGGCCACACCCCCCCCCCCCACCCCCCCCCCCCCCCCCGCCCCCCTTCCCCCCCACCCCCACCCCCACCCCACCCCCCCCCCCACCCCGAGAACGAACGGAAGCAGAATCAAGACAAGCAGAGAAATACGAATACGGGCAGGTTCTAGGTGGGTTGGAGCTGGAATGGTTCGAGGGTGGGGTGGGGGAAAACAAAACATGAGGTTAACAAAATTAAGTGTTCTTTTTGTCAATCCGGACCAACACTTTTGGTTCTACCTTCGGTCTGGGGAAAGCAAGCGCGAAGACAAGGGACATGCGACAAAGCCGACGAGCACGAAGGGAGGGGACATACGACAAACCCTAAGAGCGCGAAGGGAAGGGACATGCGACGAATCTGTAGACCTTTCATCAAACCATACGAGCACGAAGGGAGGGGACATACGACAAACCCTACGAGCACGAAGGGAGGCATACGACAAACCCTAAGAGCACGAAGAAAGAGGGCGTACGACAAACCTGTAGACCTCTCGTCAAACCCTACGAGCACGAAGAGAGTGGACATACGACAAACCTCGAAAATAAACCCGTGCATTTCTCAATGTTTTGGGATTCTCTGCAAGCAGAAGAAAAGGGACATACGACAAGGCCGACGAGCACGAAGGGAGGGGACATACGACAAACCCTAAGAACACGAAGGGAGGGGACGTACGACAAACCTGTAGACCTCTCATCAAACCCTACGAGCACGAAGGGAGGGGACATACGACAAACCCTACGAGCACGAAGAGAGGGGACATACGACAAACCTTTAGGCCTTTCATCAAACCCTACGAGCAGGAGCCAACATGAGGCGAGGTCACCGGGGCACTAATTGGAACCATGTGGAAGCCAGGCAGCTTAAAGTGTGCCAAACACAACCAACAAGACGGCCAAAAATAGGCAGGGCCACCGGGGAAAACGAACACGAGCAAAGTGAATATGAGCAGAAAGAGAACGAATGCGAGAAGACTGACATCGAGCAGAGCAGAGAGAGAACGAAGACCAGCAGAATGAATACGAGCAGAAAGAGAACGAGTACGAGCAGACTCAGTACGAGCAGAAAGACAGCGAAAACGAGCGGGCTGAAATCGAGCAGAGAGAGAACGAATACGCGCAGAAAGAGCACGAATACGAGCAGAAAGAGAACGAACACGAGCAAAATGAATATGAGCAGAAAGAGAACGAATACGAGCAGAATGATTACGAGCAGAGAGAGAACGAAGACGAGCAGAATGAATACGAGCAGAAAGAGAACGAGTACGAGCAGACTCAGTACGAGCAGAAAGACAGCGAAAACGAGCGGACTGAAATCGAGCAGAGAGAGAACGAATACGCGAAGAAAGAGCACGAATACGAGCAGAAAGAGAACGAACACGAGCAAAATGAATATGAGCAGAAAGAGAACGAATACGAGCAGAGAGAGAACGAAGACGAGCAGACTGAAATCGAGCAGAGAGAGAACGAATACGAACAGAATGAATACGAAAAGAAAAACAACGAATACGAGCGGACTGAAATCGAGCAGAGAGAGAACGAATACGAGCAGAATGAATACGAGCAGAACGAGAACGAACACGAGACGAGCAGATCAGAGAAAGAACGAATACGAGCAGAATGAATACGAGCAGAAAGGAACGCATACGAGCAGAATGGAAACCAAGCAGAATGACAAAGAACACGAGCAGAATGAATCAATGAGGTTGGAGGATAATGTTTTGGGATTCTCTGGGTGGGTGTTTTTTTCTAGAGTCCAGACAGCGGCTCTACTAGAGATTGCTCGACCCAGAGCTGCTGAACCCTAAACCTTAAACCCTAAACCCTAAACCCTAAACCCTAAACCCTAAACCCTAAACCCTAAACCCTAAACCCTAAACCCTAAACCCTAAACCCTAAACCCTAAACCCTAAACCCTAAGCCCCCAACCCTCAACCCTCAACCCTCAATCCTCAACCCTAAACCCTAAACATTTCTTACTATATATATATATATATATACAAGCCCTAATGACTTAGTGGGCATAGACAAACCTTAGTGGGCAAGCCACAAACCTTAGTGGGCAAGGCACAAACTTTACTGGGCAAGGCAGAAACCTTAGTGGGCAAGGCACACACAATGCACCCCACCCCCCACCCCCACCCCCCCACCCCCACCCCCCCACCCCCCCACCCCCCCACCCCCCCCCACCCCCCCACCCCCCCACCCCCCCCCCCCCACCCCCCCACCCCCCCCCCCCACCCCCCCCCCCCACCCCCCCCCCCCCCACCCCCCCACCCCCCCCCCCCCCCCCCCCCCCCCCCCCCCACCCCCCCACCCCCCCCCCCCCACCCCCCCACCCCCCCCCCCCCCCCCCCCCCCCCGGCCCCCACCCCGCTTCTCCCCCCCCTCCCCCTCTCCCGCCCCCACTTCCCCACAAACAATTGGTGTTTATGGAGCTTTGGGTTTAGGGGTTCAGGGTTTCGTGTTCAGAGTTTTTAGGTAGAGGTTATTGGCTCAAGCCTTAGGGTTTAAAGTTTAAGGTGAAACTGAAAATGGGAAGCGTTTAGAATCTCAATGTTGCGGGATTTTCTGGGTGGGTGGGTACTTCTCCATCACACGATGAAAAAGCTTGACTAGTGAAAGCTAGACCTGCTGAACCCTAAGCCCTAAACCCCTCAAACTCAAACCCTAAACCCTAAACCCCAAACCCTAAACCCTAAACCTTGAACCGTAAATCTTAAGCCTTAAACCCTAGGGTTTACACCCCGAAACCCTGAACCTGAAACCCTAAACCCTAAACCCTAAACCCTAAACCCTAAACCCTAAACCCTAAACCCTAAACCCTAAACCCTAAACCCTAAAAACGCCTGAATTTGCATGTGGGACAAGGCAGTGTCATCCTTTTGCAATGTTGGAAGTTTTGCACCCCACGCTCACGAAGCTTTGTGGACCCGGGAAAGGCAGAATACACAGCAGAGCTGTCTGTACAAACTTGTTCTTTATTTGACCCATTGCCCGGGAGCATAGTAGTGACTCTGCAATGGAAGCTCGCAGAACTCTAGAAAGGAAAGAACTGCAATGCTTGAAGTCGCGGCGCAAATGCACTTTGTCCGAGCAGCCAATCCTGCAAACTAAAGAATCCCTTAGTCGAGCGAAGGTGCTGTTCGAACATTTCCCGTGGCAGGTTTTCTGCAGCAACCCAACAACTACGTTGGGCAGGCAATGTGGATGCCTCGTCCAAAACAAGTGAGGAAGCTGAGTGCCGCACAGGATGCGGGATCGCGAATTCCTCCACTCCAGGATCTTGTGACAATCTCACCTGAGCCGTGCAACATCTCCTTTTCTGGGTTGCTGCCATGCAATTTATGCAGTCGTGCAAGGACGCCGGGTCACGCGTTCCTCCGCAGCAGGTTGGAATATGTTGGAATATCATATGTGCGTGACCGACGTGAGACTGTAGGGACCTTTCGTGGAGGTGCTATGGTCACAAGGTCTAGATGCACCATATGCTGGAGGCAGGAAGCAGTGTAAACGGCCTTCGAATACCCGGACTTGTCACCTTCGTGCAGTGGTGTCAAGGAGGTGTTGACTGGCGTGGTGGCGGTGGTGGTCAGAACCTACCGTGAGCCGCATCATGTTGCATCTTGCGAAGTGTTGCGCTACCATCGCCTGCCATCATGTCTAGAGTTGAGGGAGAATTGTATCGTGTCAGGTTCAACTTGGCATCCAGCAATTTTGCTGGAGGCCTCATGGCGGTGGCAAGCTTGGCATATCTTGTTATGTTTCGCATCGTTTTTGCATCGTTTTGCATCGCTTCGCATCGTTTCGGATCATCTTCACCCTTCAAACTGTGCAGCATTGCAGTGCTGCATGGCGCGGTCTTTTGCATTAAGGCAGGAGGCATGCTGCTGGCACAGGGAATCTCGTCACTTCAACAGCAGCAGCTTCAGCTACAGCAGCAGCAGGACTGCCATAAAATGCCCCGGGGGACTGCTGGGGGACTGCCGGGGGACTGCCGGGGGACTGCCGGATGTCTGAGTCGCAGTGGCTGAAGTCGAGGAGCAGCTTGAACGCCTCCGTCAATCCATCGATCCGCGGAAACCTTGGCTTGGCATGCCGATGGCATAGGACTGAGTGCACTGAGTTCAAGGCAGATGCAGCTGCAGGCCCAGGCCCAGGACATGGCAAAAGCATCGGTTATACAATGTTATACATGATTTGAAATGGTGAGACGTGGTACTTGTGGCCTGCGAAGGCTGTGAGCCATGCATGCCAAGCGTCCTTTATGCCGAGCGGGTCCGGATCCCTGCCGACTGTGCTCCGACTGTGCTCCGACTGTGCTCCGACTGTGCTCCGACTGTGCTCCGACTGTGCTCCGACTGTGCTCCGACTGTGCTCCGACTGTGCTCCGACTGTGCTCCGACTGGGCTCTGTGCACTGTGCCAGTACTGTGCCAGTACTGTGCCAGTACTGTGCCAGTACTGTGCCTATGCATCCGAGGTGCGGCCAAGTCGACTCGCAGCGAGGCCACAGTCTCAGAGACGTGAGATGACGCGAGATGCCATGACCGGCAGACTGCATAGGTTTTGTGTTAGCACAGGCAACCGCCAACCTTCCATGAAGAAGGGAGGCAGTTCAAGCATGCCCAAACATGTTCAAGCACCAAACATCTGGAAGCATTCTTCTGGCAGGTGGGAGGGCGATAAATGCAGGCCGAGGCCACGGATGCAGATACTCGGTACCACTTTGCAGTGACTTTCAGACTTTCACGGCCGGAGCAGGCGGCAAGCGGATGATGGAAGATGAAGCGCTTATGGCAGGCGGGCATCAAGATGATTGGCCAAACTGAGGTTTTTGGACAGTCCTCCCGACTGACAGGCCGTAAGCAGATGTTCGACCAAAACATGGCAGGACCTGCTGAGCCATGTTACCAGCTCTTGCCATCGTTCGATTGCCTCGGGTCATCCTAGTAGAAGTATCCGCGCGCGGCATGCCGTGGAACAGCCGCACTCGTGCTAGAATGCCATGTGGACATGCCTGCAGAAAAGATGGTGTCATCGGTTGCGAAAACATCTTGTCATATCTTGTCGACGAAGGGTTGATGATGCCGATGGATCCTCAAGCTGGAGGGACAGGGCCTCGGAAGCTGAGAAGATGTGTCAAAACGTGTCATCGCAGTTTTCGTGGCATCTTTTGTGCTTTCATACGGCTGCGTGATGCTTGTGCGCTTCAAGGCCCGGTGCGAAGGCCGTCCTTTGTTGCCGCGTTTCGTGCCGTGTGCATGCCGATTCCCAAAAGAAAGTCTCTAATGCATCCCCGAAAGAAGGAGAAAGCCAAAGTGCCCCTGAGTGGGGGCGGGCCAAAGCGAACTGACTACATAAAAAAGTGCCGTCCTCAGAGCCTGCTGCTTTGTGACTGTGTGTTTGCAATGTTGTGATCTGTTGTGATGTGATGATCCTTGCAGGTTCGGGGGTGCCAACGAACAACACATGGAAGGCACTCCGACAACGCAGCCCATTACGACATCACCTCAGAATGGTGGATGCCCTGCTTACAATCCAACACTAACATCACTTCACCTAAGGACAATGATGCTGAAGAACATACCGTGCCGAAAGAGTCAAGAAGAGGCATGCTGCCCCAGCCAGTGCTTATGTGATCCTTAAGCCGGAAGCTGTCAGCAGCTCCTGCTGTCGTTCCTTTGGGTAAAGCATTCCTGTCATTCCGAGTGAATGGATCGTTCGGTCACCCTGTCAGACCATATATACTCTTCGTCTCGACTCCTCGATACCCCCGGCTCTACAACCATTTGCGGCATGTCGAAACGCTTCAGATCTGGAGCTTTCATCCTCCAGGACAATGATGGGTCTCCAGAAGCAAAACTACACCTAGACAAATACATGACAACCCATGGCCTGCAGCCAAATCCGATACCAGTTACCTCGTGGACACAGCTCAGACCAGCCCTGCCACGGATGCAGATCTGGGTTGAACACTCCGGGCTTTGTCTGAGCATGGCTTCGGGTTCGTTTGGGTATCTTGCTCTCACAGCCTGACATGTCTTCCGGTTCCGAGTTACGAAGTCGAGGCTCGGCATAGAGTTCTTCTGTACGGAGCCACACTAGGTGTTGAGTTGGTGATTAGGATGATTAGGGCTTCAGGGTTTCAGGTCAGTGGCTCTGCCGGGTATGCCGAACGACAGAACAACCTCGAAGGCTCGATCGCAGCCATATCCGCAAGAATCTGGCATGGCATCGCCCCAACTCAATTCGATCAGCGATCTGGTTGGCATGGCGAACGGATCCACGCCACGCCCCGATCCAGCCGCCCATATAATCTTCTATACTATGAACAATATGAATATGGTTTTTTCATACTAGTAGTATTCTTGATTATCATTCATTAGCGAGGGCGGGTGACAGGTCATTAATAGGTGAGAAGGAGCAGCGGCAACGGCAGCGTCGCAGACTAGGCAGCCAACCGAAGGAGGGAAACATCCCATGCAAAACAAGAGTACCTGCACGACTTCTGAAGCTATTGCACATTGGGGAGCTGGGAGCACACGCAGCCCGAAGCCGACGAAACTTTGCAGTATTTGGGGCTGCTCGTGTTTGGGGATCTGTGCGGCCTGTTGTGAGGTCATGGCGACCATTGATGAGGAAGGATTTGGTGCAAGGCTGACCATTGCATGCAGGGTCCAATGCAGATCAAGGCGCTTCTTGAACATTGCAGGTACGACTTCTTCTACTTGCCCAGGGACGTCAAGTTTCGAGCAAACCTTGGGTACGCCTTCATCAACTTCGTCACTCCGGAGGAATCGCAGCTGTTGATCGAGGGCTCTATGAGCGAACGGTGAACCTAGACTAATCGACGAAACATGCTGAAGAACGAAATGGCCCATGGAACAAGAGACCAAGGTAAGAACGATGCACAACGTTGGGTTTTGTACGTCAGCGACCAGGTCCAAGTTTCCGTACCCACGCCCGGAGCACAAAATATATTCGAACATTCGAATTCTCAAATTTTCTCAAGCACTGATCCTTGATGAAGGAATATACCGTGAAGTATATAGGAACTCCATAAACCCTAAACCCAAACCCTGAACCTGATTTGAGCTCAAAGCATGTTCCTTAAGTAAGAGGTTTTGGGCTTTAGGAGTAAAGAGAGACGGCTGGGATTCTCACATGCCCGACGGCACATTCCCCACCCCCCCCTGCCCCGCATACAGCTGTCTTGGGCAGGGACGGAGATTCAAGTCTACGCGTATTTCCATGAAGTGAAACTTTTGTTTGAATTGGCAGTTTTCTGAAGATCCGTTTGGGCTGGAAATATTTTTGTTGATGTTTTGATCCAGATAATGCTGGTATGGTTGTCTGCCATAGAAGGTGGGGTGACAACCCCCAAGCCTTTCAGAGGCAACGAGGCCACAGCGGGAGTTTCAACAGATCCAGTGAATCAGTGAAACCCTATGTATGAAACCGAGCGGCAAAGGGTCTTGCATCTCAGCAGACAGACGTTGTGCGTGCCATTTCTTTAAAGCAAAGAGCTAGTAGTCTATGCGATGCGCAGATGTTTGGTTCGTTCCATCTGCGCTTGAAGCCATCAGCACTACTGCGCAAGCAGAGAGGATGACACACCATGCAGTGCAAGCATTTCAAAGATGTAGTACATAGCAACTGGGAATGCCAACTGAGCGATGTGAAGTTTCAGACTCTTTCCATAGGATGCCGCCGACTTTCAGAACAAGATGGACGGGTACCGTTTTCCAAATTCAGGCTCCGCGAAGGCGAGTTGGTATGCCTGCCACAATCTTGACTTTAGCCATGAACGAATACAAGTTCCCTTGGCATCTCTTGGCCCATGTGCAGGCCTGCATTGTGGTACCTGCGCACGTGCAGGCTGTTCTTTTGTCGGAATGAATGCCCCCCCCCCCCTTGAGTTGAATGTGCAAAAGCGCTTGATTTTGCATTGCCCGCAGGGCGCTCTGAATAACCTCCAAGCTTTCAAGAGGACGGAGGTCATGAGAAGCAACCGCAAGCCGTGCTCGTCACAGGATTTTGGTGTGGGTAGGGCAGCAATGCTTGACTATTCTCTTGCAAGCAGCATGTTTCGGCCCAGGTTTTTCTCATCCGTCGTGGCATTGTGACAATGTCGCTTGTGTGGTTCTTGCGCGGTGCTCCAAGTGGGACGGGTGTGACACCTGTTGCCAATTTAGTTCTGCTTCGTACGGCAAGCTGTGTGGGGGGGCCAACTGCAGCCAAAAGTGCACATGGAAGAAACGGGCTGAAGTCTTCTCATAACCCCACGCTTGCCTAGTGTTGTCCTGTCCTTCTTGTACATTTGGTCCCGTGTCCAAAGGAGGCACGGGAAGGCCTGCGATAACTGGCAAACTTACCGCCTTGGAAGGGATGCGGCTATTTTGAACACATCTGGTGACATCCCTCCAAAGAGACCAGGTACTGTGTTTTCACTTTCTCCGGGTATGGCTTGACATATTCGCAAGCTTTCAACAGGTTCGCAGCTTGGTAGGAATCAGTCGGCACTGACCATGGGGAAAGCCAACGGTACTCTGCGTGCTGGGCAATCCGCAGGTGGATTTGGCAACTCGCAGATTTTCCCAGAAAGGCATGTGGCACGACAGAAATGTTGCATACATTCTGTTTGGCCGTGTGGCCTGCGTCGCAATGAGAAGACGAGGTGCCATAGAAACGACCTCAAGAGTGTCGCACTTTTTCTCCACCAGCAAGTTCAGTTCTGCTGGTACATGACTCGAACTGATCTTCAAACTCACCCCCAGTTTCACCAGTGCGATGCTGAGAGTCTGGCGTACAGCTGCAATGCTTCAGCTGCTCTGGAGCTTGCAAGGTCCTGCAGGGAGGATTCGGTGTTCATGTTTGGTTATCCTTCGCTTGCTTTCGGTGCTGTTCTGACATCTTATATGATTGACATGTATACGTTTACCTCCTGCTAGGACTTTCTGGGGGGTTTTCGTCAGTTGCCTGAGTGCTCTTGAGGAACAGTCCTGAGCCAACAGAAGGCACAACTGGTGCCTATGCAGGCTCACAATGAGTAGCTGCTAACATCCTCAGTACTTGAGGACCTGTGTGCTGCAATGCAGATTTGGGAGGAAACAGATTGTCAGAAGACCCCCTTCTGTGCTGCTTTGTGCTCCAGAATTCCGGACTCCAGAGGTACGAGACTCTTCTCCAAGCACAGCTCTCAATTTGTCACATGCTCAAGGCACAATGTCACAAGGCACCGGAGTGTGTGAGTGTGTTGTCTCGCCGTTTGAGCTCAGCCGCTGTGAGCGCTTATGACCTTAAGTTGAACCTGTCCCGACTCCCACTCGGCCACTCTTTTCTGCATGTTTCTACTTCCTCTTCGACACTGGACATCACTGGACATCTGTGCAGTGATAGCAGCACCAACAGTACGCCCTTGCTGTGTGATGCCAGCACAGCGGTGCCATGCATCTGTCGACATAGCTTTGAAGGTGAGAAGTTGGCCGAATTTGCAGTGCAAGCAGAGAGCAGAGTGCAAGTTTCAGCATCACGACTTGTGGCCCCTGTGGCAGGAGCATGGCGTTCGGAGGAGGAGGAGGAGGTTCCATCGGTAAGAAGGCCAGCAGCCTTATGACAGAAGTCATCCTACTTCGTGACAATGACAATCTCTCCGTTCTCACTGTGGATTTGGGCATTGGCCATTGGCTTCTGTTTGTGTGAAGCAGTGGTCGCTGAAGAGCCATACTGCAGAGCGTACAGAGCAGCGTTTGCTCCGCAGTGCGCAGGCCAGGTCCAAGTCCACTCGGCACGACCTTCCCAGCGATGCGACCGAGGCGGGCGGGTGGTAAGCGCTCTGAACAGAAGAAGAAAGAGCATAAAAGAGCATAAAATGAGAAAGAGGAAGTCGAGTGATAATAAGAAGAGAAGAGTAACAAGAAGAAGACGAATACGAGTTATGACAATCATAAAACGGACAACATAAACGAATAATTGTACTGAGAACAAGAGTAACCATATATTTTGGTGCCGCACCCGCCACTTTTCAGTTTTCTTGCCCGAGCGGCTTGGTTCTGGAGCCTCGCCAGATGCAGTTTGGTGGGCTTCCAAAAACGCATGTGGCACCATTCTAATCGATTTCTGCAGTGCTACGCTCGAAAGCCAAGTTGAGCCTGAGTCTCGTTCCGAAGCCCAATCTCCCAAGATGCATTTTCCGGCCTTCGGAAACACATTTGGCGCGTAGCTGGTTAAAGGTGGTTAAAGGTCGATGCGCCCCAATCGGTAGCTTTACCACTCAACTGCGAACTCAAAATGTCGGTGGCCGCGTGCTTTTTCATCCAAAACGGGATTGCTCGCAACATTCTGCCAAAGGAACTTGCTTGTGTACGTAGGCCACTCTTTTTGAGGGCCCCCAATCTGTTGCTTGCCTCTTGGGTGTACGTTTGCGCTGGTTGGCTTGAGCTGACCTGTCGTAGTAAAGAGTCGGATTTCTGACTTCTCCAAATAGGTCCGGATGCTGCTCGCTTCGCAAGCATCATATCTAAAAGCAGCTTGATGACCCTGTGTCCGATTGTCGTGTGTGCATTGATCTTTTGGTGTGCTTGTATCACAGTGCCGTTTGTTTCGTGAGGCTGAAGCATGTGCTACTCCAAGCGAAGTGGCGGTGTAGAGAGCTTGTTTCGTGAGGAGTGGCGTTTTGGGTCCCTGGTAGCCACCAATTTCGTGAGCATTTCTCCCCCAACAAGCTACGTCCAGGGTGCAAAAGATGGTTCCGGGGGAACAGATGCAGACAGCGACAGAGAGCGACCCTGCCTGTAAAACCCTCCTTCCGGGCTTGGGATTTCTGTGCATTGCGAGCAAGGTTGCGTGAGCGAGATATGGGAGAGATGAGATTTCCGAACTCTGTGAGCTTTTTGAGCTCTTTTTTGCACAGGACCCACCAAGTTCTGTCAGCGCTTCAGCGACCGCAGCAAGGCCACTGTGGTGTGTGCAATACATCCGGGCAGCAGTGTAAGCCTGACAAGCGTCATGCATTGTAAGGGTTGCCTTTCAATAAGAATCAGAAGGTTCAGAGTTCTGTTCTGAGGGAGAAAGCTCTTGAGCAGTCACAGCAGTTCTGCAGACTGTGAAATTGCCAGGCAATTGCAGAGTCTCCGACGAAAGAACGAGAGTGATACATTTGCCTTGCAGAGCTCAGAGAATGGGGTCTCGCACCTTGGCAGATGTTTCAACAGGCTGCTGCTCTTTTGACAGTGGTCGTTGCCCAGTTTGCATGGTGCGCATGATGGCCGTTCAACACGTTTCGACACATGGTTGTGAAGCTCAGCGAAGCTTTTGCTGTAGCTTGCCACCTGAGGTCCTTGCACTTGCATAGCGAGGTGCCCCCAGCGACGTCAAGCAGTACCTCTCGATGTTGTGAGTCAGCTTCATGAGAAGGCCCCATCGAGCGAAAGTCAAGAGCAGAAGGCCGCCAAGCCCAAGGCACCAGTTGCGAGCAGCATCGAGCAGCAGCCGATGGGGATGCAGTGCGTCGCCCTGCAAGGCCAAGCACTGGTCGCCGGAGGAGGTGGATAGCTCCTTGAGGCCGCCCGAGATCAGACTATCAATATCAAGAGCAAGAGGCGACAGGCCACCTGAAGACATAGGTAGTAGATAGCCTACTTTGACAGCATAGCGTGCCAGGTAGTCCAGAAATACTGTCGCTGAAGGCGTACGTGCATGAGGGCCTTCTTTCTGCTCGTTTTGGAAGTGTTATAATCATGGACCCGAGCACTTTAAGCTTCGGCTTGGCTTGGCAATCGTAATCGCGCAAGCGCACGGGCTTCTAGTGAGCGTTGTGTGTTGAAAGCATGCTCATGATGTTCGTAAGCAGCAAAGCGGCTGCAGCTTCGTAGCGCAAGGGGGCAAGTGGAACAAGGCGAACAGGATACCAAGCCATGCAAATTAAATGTCTCTTAGGGAGGAGAGAGCGCGCCAGCGCAGACGTCCCTACCGGACTTTGACAGGGGGTTGTCCTCGAAGTTTGAGACGCCTTATCATGTCGTATCATGTTCTGGTCACATGGCCTCCCAGCTTGCTCAGGACAGCCACCATGCTGGTTCTGCCCTCGGCGGCAATCGTTTGATACTTGGGCTCCACTAGTTGCCACTGACCAGGTCATTGTTCAGAACTTGTGCTTCTTCCTCCTGTTCTCTTCTCAGAGTGAAAAATCAGAGATCCAAAGAGGTAGAGTTTTGTGTGGTGGACAAGACTCGAGTGCACCGAGGGCATTGCTTAGAGCGCAGAGCAGTGCAGAGCAGATCAGAGCAGCGCAGAGCGCAGAGATCGAAGAGGTTGGTGCCCTCTGCAGTTAGCGAGTGCCAGTTCGGCACTTAGCCTCGAGAGATTCATAGAACATCATGAGACATAGGACATCATAGCGCATGAATGGCCGATGATGCATCCTCCAAGGGAACACCGAACCTGCATGCCAATCCTGAGCATGATGGCCTTGGCGAACTGGCTTGCATTGGACATGGATGGAAAGGTCTATCTCTGGAGTCTACGCAGCGCTGTGCAGATCATTTTTCCCCACCTTCGGTGTGGGGTTGTTAGATTTTAAACTCAACTCTTCTCCTCGCCCGGTCTACTCCTAGAGACTTTCTGGAGTGCCCAACCGCGGAGACTCCCTGAACTGCCCAACCCCTGGAATGCCCAACCCCAAAAATTCCTGGAGTGCCCAACCCAGAGACCCCTGGAATGCCCAACCCCAGAGTCTCCCTGGAGTGCCCAACCCCAGAGACTCCCTGAAATGCCCAACCCCAATCCAAATCCCTAAGGTGGGGATGTTCGAAGTAAAATGATTTTCTTCTCGTCTCTGCTTGCGAACTGCCATGCAAAAAGCAGAGCTGGCCGCCTTGGCCGTTTGGGGTCCTCGACATGGGCACAAGTGGGACAGCTCTTGGTGAGAAGCGCACGACAAAGGCCGTCGCCCCACCCAAGGCGTAAGACGAAGCATTGATACCCGTAGGCCTTCGTAGCTGCCTAGCCCCCCGCTTTGTTCTGAGCTTGCTGCCAAACAACTTCTGCAATAACTTGCTTGGTCTCAACGCCTTGCTTGTCATGGGCTTCGGACAATAAGCACTGCTGTCACGAACCATGGGCCATGTCGCACAGTTTCTCGACGTGTCCATCTTCACCGGACACCTGATGTTGGGATATTGTGAGCCAGCATACAGGCTGGATGACGTTGTCAGGGCTCATGAGCTTGTAGTGTTGGCAGAACATGGCAGGAAGGAGTTTCCCAGCAACAACTTCTGGCTTCTGACTGTGAGCAGCTGAGAAAGTGCAAGTGAGGGCTCAGCAAGAGTGGAGAATGATTTTGGCAGGTCTTGTGGTCAATCTGGAACGTGCTGTCACACCCGTTTTGGCGAGACAACGTCGTTGATTTTTTCGTGGCAGCGATCTGAGGGTAACAGCTGATTGATGCCTGCAGCAGATAATCAGTCCCGGGCGCGTCCCTCCGCTATGAGGTTTGGCCGCAGGAGCTTCACACGATCTTGAACATCGCTGCTATTGTGGTGCGAGCCCGCAAGATTTCGCAAGTGTCCGATGTCCACTGAGTTTTTTAGCCAAGCGATGTGATGGGAAGGTGTGTTCTGCCACGCAGATCATGCCGTCATGGAGGCAGAGTCAGATAGTTTTTGTTGTTGAGAGCTCTTTGCAACACCCTTTCAACGTTCTGTATGGGCGAAGGCACCTGGCATGTATGGTGATGGGCGAGTTCTTCCTGAGCTTAGCACTTTCAGCTGCGGAGGCCAGATCTGAGAAACGAGGGGTGACAGGACAGAGGGCTGCATTTCATCAAGGCCCTCGTGCTAGTGGTAGTGCTAGTGGTAGAGCACTTGCACTCACCGCGTTGAAGCCTGACATGAGCATCACAAGCAGTGGACTTGCTGGATCAGTTTCTGGGCAGGGACGAGAGAATCGAGAGACATACAGAAGAACTCGATGTCGATACCTGCGGAAGCTCAAATGAAAAGTATGACATCAGGTGCTGAGTGCTTTTGTGGAAGCGCTGGATCCAACAGCACTCGATTCGCCGACCGTGCGCTTTGATTTAGTGGAGGCCTTATCTTTTCCAGCGCGAGGGAATGAGCAGGCTTTTGCCAGCCGGGCTCGGCTTCATGGTCTCCGAGGTCATCTTCAACATTGCCATCTTGATCATCGGCTCGACCATTGTGTTGGGCGCGTTGAACCCTGAAAAGGTGGCTTGCCTAGTCACCTGCGTGGTCGCTTAGGTAGTTAAATGCCGTCCGACATGGCAGGACATGAAGAGCAACGACAGTGAGGCACTGCCACTTACGTGGGGAGCCTCGGTGGCCTCCAGATGAGACCCTCCCGAAGTTCCGAATGCTTTTGGTTTTTGTTCTGGGGTGGTCGAGGTCTGCACTTCATTCCCAGGCCTTTGAGGTGAGATGCACAACCATTCTTTTTTCGATGGGGAGACTCCTGCAACGAGAGGACGACTTAGAGCGAAGGAAGCGAGCGGTCGGCCACCAAGTGGATTGTGAGCTGCTGACTAGCCAGTTGCTCCATTCATCTGCCTTCCATTGAGGTGTTGACGGCTCTTTGCGACACGGTCCTGACAACCAACGCCTACTTTGCTATCTCCTCCAGCAACGAAAGCGCGGACAGGCTGTTCAAGAGGTGCCGGCGCCAAATCTGATAATGCTTGGTGCAGTTGAAGCTTTGCCTGTCATTGTCCAATGTCCATTGTGAACAGTTTTAGTCGCCTCACTGGAACGCAGCATTTCACAGTCTTTTTGAACTCGCGGAAAGTAGGGCCACAACACCCGGGTTACACGCAACTTCTAAGGGTGAGGCACGAGCTTCCCTTGCAAAGATGGGGCATGATACGACATCGTGCCAGGTGTGTGAGCAGATTTTGTTCGTATCACACCAGAATACGGGTGCCCTGCTTTGAACAAGACGGACTATAGCTTCGGTTCACGCCTGTGTTGTTAAGCGAAGTGTGTCCAGTGTGATCACATGATGTATGTCTGACCTGCTGCCTGTAGAGCTACAAGTAGTTATTATTACGTTAGTTTTATGGAAGGAGTGGCCCTGTGCAGGCCAATGCTGCATGAGATCTTTACAGACTACCTGAAAGACTCGGCAGAAAAGGTGGGGGGGACCGGTGTGCTGGCGTGCTATTGGCAGCAGGAGAGGCGTACTTGGCCTTTTTGGAGAGCACAGGGCTTCCTAGCCACATGCTGGATGTGTGTTGCTCAAGCAGGCAAAATTTCTGTCCTCCATGAAGAAGTGCCTTGGACTGTGTGTTTTGTAGTATGCTTGCCATTTGTGGTGCATCCTCAACAGCCAGGCAGTTTCCCGAGGATGATTCTTTAAGCGACGGTCCAAAGCGGCTGAGAGCGATCAGCTCAGATCAGCCCAGCGAGTGGAAAGCGTATGTACCTGGACAAGACTATTTGCCGTTTCAGGTTACCATGCGCGATGCGCATGGAAAGCTTTTTGAAACTGACGTAGTGGTCTCGGATGCCAGTACGGATCTGAGGAGCTTGAACATCTGGTCGCTTGGCCCTTTGCAGTATGAGTCGTGTGCAGCTGTGCAGGACTGGGAAAGCTTCCAAGCTGATGGCGTGGGCTTCAGTGACGTGCGAATGCGGTGTTTGGCTTGAGGATGCTTGAGGCTCAAGGCATTCAAGGCCGCAAGTCTCTCACGGAGCCTCTCTCCAGTGACTGACGCACTGCTCTCGCTTTCTCTCTGTTCGTCTCCCTTCTTCCTTCCTCTTCTTTGGTGTGCCGTTTACTCTGCTCACGGGTTGCCGCGGGCACACCCCACCAGCAGCACTCCAGCAGATTCAGCTTTGCTGATCAGTCGCGCTCCGTTGTGATGTCGTAGACGATGAGCATGTTCATGCGACGTTCTGCTGCTTCATGTCCCTCTCTTGTAGTTGATTTTCTAGCTTTCGTCCCTGGGCTACATTACCACACGGGACTGTGCCAATACTGTGTTCACTGCAACGATGGGTATGACCTAAGATCAGTTCAGCAGCTCAAGTACAGTACCGTGCATCCACACATACAGAAATGTATCAGCTTGCTTTTTCAGGTGGCTATGCACATTCGTCCAGAGTATCGATCACAAGTTCTGGCAGAGGTTCCGAGCAATGATTTCTGGAGAATGTTTCCTAGGCACAGTTGTCAGGCTGCTAAACTGCGTCCAAGCCGATGGCGGGGTGATGCAGGCGGGTGAAGTAACATGATGGTCTGCTTCCAGGATGAGTTGACGAGCAGCCGGCAGATGTGACTAAGCGCTTAAGGTGCAGAGACATCGCAGCCAAGTGGGGCACCAAGTGTAGATGACCCCATGGCAGCTATCAAGAAGACTGCAACAGCAGATTGCCATGGTTCAGATACAATGATGGCTGGCCTTGCTGGTCTGGCAGGCCGAATCACTGTGGAAGTACGTTGAAGTTGGTTACAGGTGTGGTGTGCGAAGCTCTCGGCATCGCGCAAGGTGATCTGCAGTCAATGGGCATGGCCATTGAGTCAGTCCAGGTAGACTCGGCGTGCGACTCTCAGTTTATTGGACGGGCTCCATGTTTGTGGCTGCTCTCTCTCGGATAAGGAGGGCAGCTCCGCCACAGCTCAAAGGCCGATGGCATTTTGCTTTTGCAAAGGGATCTGATTTTAGAGACTCCTTGAGGGTTGTGTGTGTGTGTGTGTGTGTGTGTGTGTGTGTTTTTGGCAGGAATTGAGGAGCAGCAGCGCCTCTTCCACAGAGATTTCAGCATGGGTCTTGGATGGATTTCAGCTGGCTGTCAGTTGTACTTGGCATTCTGTTGCCAGGTCAGGAGCTGCTGAGCATTTACCGGGACTTGTTGCGAAGTGACTCGACTGGCAAGCAAGCAGGTGCCCCGCATCCAGAGTTTGCGAGCACTCTAGACTTTCTTGCAGCTCACTTCTGCCAGGCTCAGCTGTGAGATCTGCGGCCTCAAAGTCAGGATGCCAGCAGCAGGGCTTTCAAGACGGAAGATGATAAGTGCAGGGTGGGGTGTCATTGATAGAGCATTCTCATACACAAAAACAGCACGCAAAAGGACCGCCGCGGATACGTTTGCACCGAGCAAACTACGAGGCCACGGGAGATGGCAAAGGGGTTCACGACAATCCCAAGAGCGACTTTGAGCCCACCAAGATCCACCAAGTGTGCTTCAAGTGTCTTCAAGTGTGCTTCAAGTGTGCTTCAAGTGTGCTCACTTGGCCAGTCATTCCGTCGCCGAACCTCGTTTGCCGCGGGTCTGGGAGAACAGCAGGCTTCCATCCTCAGATGTCTGAGCTTGTCAAGCTCTGCACAGTGATTGTGAAGCCGCATGCCCAGGTTGACCTGAGAAGCCTGTCGCTTTCAGATGCAGAGATAAGATAGGCAGACGACGCTCAGAAAGTATCTGAAGCAGATCACCGATATTGCCCACACTGAGTTTTTTTATTATGGCCCTGCTTTAGGAAATGTTTCCAGGGGGGGGGGGGGGGGGGGGGGGGGGCGCTGCGTCAGTTACCGATGGTTTCGTGGAAACATCTTTGGCGGTCGCAATTGTTACCAGGAGACCTCCCCGGCAGGCTTGGTAACATTTTAGCTTGTGTGTCTTGCCCACGCAAAGACCTACATGCGTGCTTTAGTTCTCTGTCTTTTTCATGTCTTGAAATGTTACACGGATTGTGGGGTAGGGTTGCATGTTTTTCCCAGATGCCCGCTGAGAGACCTGGAAATGTTACCGGTAATTTTTCGGGGACCCCCCTTGAAGACAAGGGCCATTATATATTATTGGATATCCCCAGGTATTCAATTCCTTTTTACAATTCTATCTCGATATTCATAATTCGTTCTCGAATTTGCTTTAATAATCTGATAGATCAAGGAATTTTTCTGAAAAAACGAATGAATATGAATCGAGATATCTCTCCTATTCTTGAATATTGATGGAAGCGTCACTGGCCCCTTCCATAAGGGTACTTAAGATCAGAACTTCGTATATATTGTTCGACATCCAAAAATAGCCACCGCAGCAACGTATTTGGAGTAGGACAAAAAAAGTGAGAAGATCATAATGCAGGATGGATGAAACCAAAGCTTCTTGCAAAACTCCGTTGCCTCGGCAAAAGCATCCTCAACTAGGAAGAAATTACTGGTCTTGATCGTAATGGTTTCGCTGGGATTCTATTATCTCTTCACTTTTGGAGCTTGGGTGGAGGAGGGCAACTATTGTCTCTAAGTCCTTCAAGTGGAGAGTTCATTTTTCTTTAGCTTGCAGATTGTAAGGTTGGTATAGAGTAGTCAGATTGCAAGGCTGGTATAGAGTCGTCTATGCTAATCTGGCAGGCAAAGATTGAGGGAAGGCTCAGGCTGGTTACAATTGTGAAAGATCGTGCTTAGCGCCATTGGACTTGAGCGCTTTCAGTGAACGAGCTTCTCCGAACTGTTACCTCTCGAGCGGCCGAGAGCCAGGACTTTCTTTAGAGCAAAAAGGCGCCATGCTCTTTCGGTGTTAGAGATTGCAGTGCTGTCAGTTGGCACCGGAGCCTCCCTGCTCCCGCGAGATGGCAGCTGATGTTGGCTTGGAGGAGCTGGACGACTGGCTGGACGATGAAGATCGCCAGGAAATACAGCAGCCCGAGATTCCAGCTGCACCGAGGATGCCACCAGGTCTCGAACCTCCTGCCACGACATCCGGCGGGAACAGGCTTCGATCTGAGGAGGTACCTTTGGAACCACCACGCCTGGAAACACCTGCGCCACGCTGGGTTTGCTTTAGATGTGAGAGCGAGCAGTTCAGCCGGGACCAAGATGGATGGTTTTGCTCGGTGTGCTCCAGCAGAGACTTCTACAACAGCAGCGCACCCGGCCGACGGCTGGCGCCAGCAGGAACGTGGGTGTATGTTCCGCGTGCAGACCCTGAGCCCAATGGTTTCGACGCTTCGCCCGGGACACCTTGGCGACCTTCGACCTTGGATGGCCTGTCTTCGACTTCGCCGTCGGCTCGTGAAGCCCGGCGTCCCGCTGGAAGCTTCCCTTGGCAAGAGTGGGCCGAGGGACACCGCCGTGAGACAGCAGAGTCGGAGCGGGCGACGACGGACCCGACCGTGGACCCAGACACTTTGGAGCCACTACGACGACTTTCTCGACGACAACGACGCGCGGCGGCAGCGGCTGCGGCGAAGAGCGGCGGCCAACGACCTCGAGCTGAACCTTCAGGACAAGATCGGCGCCCTCCGGAAGTACAGCCCCGAGGACAGCCTGGAGGTCACGACCCTGAACAAGATCGAGATGTTGACGGCCGTGGCACCTGGAGGGGAAAGCTCCTAAAGGACATGGGGGGGATCTTCTCGAAGAAGGACCGCGGCAGTGATGGTGAGTGGTCTTTCTCCAAAGGACCCAAGCCCGGAGTCAAGTACCGTGGCGGGGCGCCCCCTCAGCCACCGACCTGGAACTATGCGCGGGAAGATGTGCGTGCGTATGACAGGTATGAGAGAAAAGTGCGAGTGTGGGAAAGGCAAGTTTCCTCCTTCATGCCGAAGAACGAGGCCGCGATGATGCTCTACGTGTCTCTGAGAGGCGAGGCGGAAGAGGAGCTAGAGTTCATGGACATGGGCGAGATAGACTCGCCGAGCGGGATAGAGAATATCTTGCAGTCTTTGAGGCGGCCTCTCCAAACACGTGCAATCTACCTCAAGCGAAAGTTCCTGCACGACTATGAATACCTTGGTCGAAACAACAGCGAATCGATCAGGTCCTTTTGCAACAGATATCACCGGACCGAGAAATCTTTGTTGGCTGCAAGGATCGACGTGAATGCGATGTATGATGCCGAGTCCCGTGGCAGCCGGTTGCTGGACAGGATGCGCCTTACTTCGGAACAGCAGCGCCTCATCCTTGTGGCGACGGGCCAGAGCTTGCACTTTGACAGCATACGCGAGTCGGCCCAGCTGCAGTTTCCTGAACATAGGGCGACGCCACCTGTGGCCTACCACCGGGAGTTCGAGAACGTGCAGCATCGGACGTCTGGATATCCAGATGGCAGTCAGCGAGGAGCACCAAAGGGCGGCAAGGACCAAGGAAAAGGAGGCCGAGGACCGAAGGGCCACGGCAAGCATGGAAAAGTTCATCGTGCTTATGTTGCTGAAGAGGCGCCAGATGACGAAGACCAAGGCGAAGACGACATGCCGGGAATCCCGGAAGAAGACGACGACGACGCACAGGGCGACGATGACGACGAGGAGCTTGTGCCCCAGGACGACCCCGAGAACATCGAGGACGTCATGCGCGAAGTGGCAGATTGCTTGACCGTGACTGCGAGAAGACTCCAAGGAGTCACCCTGGGAAGGAAATTCTCTGGAGGTGGCAGAGACAAAGGTTTGGAGCAGCGCAAAAAGAATAGCCATTGTATGGCTTGCGGCCAGAAAGGCCACTGGCAAGGGGATGAGTCCTGCCCCGTGAGCGCCAAAGGCGGTCGCGGCTCCTCAGCCTCTTCTTCTACCACTTCGCTTCCGAAGGGCGACAGGCACGACAAGAAGGGAGCAGCGCCAAAGAAAGTCCTCACGGTGTTCCACCCAGCGGGCCTAGACAAGTCGGTTTCCTTCGAGAGCAGCAGCCCCGTCCAAGACCCCGAAGCCGAACAAGAGCACGAGCAGACACAAGAGTACGGGTCATACTTCACAACCTTCATGACTGCGTTTGTTGGTCCTCCTCAAGAAGTTTTTCTTAGTCGTCCTGGGGATTATGCTGGATTCGCTGTTCTTGACACCGCCTGTCAGAGAAGTTTGTGTAGCAAGACATGGTTGAACAGCCACCGTGAGCAACTTAGGAGTTTCAAGCTGGATGCGAAGCTGAGACCCGAGAACGAAGGCTTTCAGTTCGGCACCGGGCCCATCCAAATCAGCAGTGAGCATGCGTACTTCCCAACATGTCTAGATGGCACCTTGCAAACATGTTCGCTGTTTGGGGCTTCAGTGATGGATGGTGGCAGTGAGATACCGCTGTTGTTGAGCTTGGGAATGATTTCGAAGAAACTCAAAGCCGTTCTGGATTTCCCCAAAGGTGTTGCCTACCTTGGGGTGTTCGGCGTAGAGGTCCCCATCGTCAAGATTAGTGGGCACGTCTGCTTGGCCCTGAACAAGTTCCCCAAGAAGCATTTTGCGCAATGGAAGTCACTGAGCAGCGTTCTGGATCAAGATGACCCAGACGTGGAGTTTGTGACAGCCCCTGCCTCAGAGACCTCGCCAACACATGTTCACATCGCTGCCGCCGCCTCAATGGCTTCAGAAGTGGCGCAAAATGGTGCTGATAATCTTCGGCGCCGAGATGCAGCTCCTGCGCTTCATGGCGCAGACGGTTCGCCTTCGACTTCGACCACGCTCTTGGCTGGTGCACCAGGACCCGATGCACCAGCGGTGGACCGACAACTTGATCAACTACCTCCAGATGCCCTGCGAACATCCCGCGGCGATGCTGGCTCGAAGCGGCAATCGCCACGGCCAGTTCCAAAAGTGTTGCCAGTGCGGAACAAGGTGGAAATGGGTGCACGGAGCGTGGGAAGAGCTGCCCTCTACACCATCGCAGCGGCCGTTGCCTCCCTCTCGCACATATGGAGCGAAATGGGAATGGGCGATCCGGTTGTTGCCGGGGATGGACGTGCAATGCTCAACGGCTTCTTCTTCGGGGAGCCGGTCGGTGACTGGACTGACGGCAAAGGCCAAACCTTCGCCGCCCTGTCGGAGCGAACTGGACTTCACGGAGGCCGAGGTTCGTTCCATGCAGATGGAGGGCAGTCACCAACAAGGGCAAGCAGTGTTGCAGCAGACGAGGGCCCGAGCAGCCCAGCGCATGCAGGCGGTGGGCGGCGATGCTCTTCAGCAGGCCCCGGCCGAAGAGGAGCAGGAGAACGAGCAGATCGACGACGACCTGAGCGACACCTACGACTGGAGCCTGGTGCCACCTCAGGATTGAGGAGGGGGCATCAAACATGGCTCGTGAGCGAGGTGCGCAAGGCGCGCGAGAACTACAGCTTCGAGGTTGAGCAGCACCAGGAGATGCCCTTTTACAAGAGCGTCTACAGCCTGCCAAAGATTGATGTGCTTGAAATCTTCGCGGGCACGGCCGGCATCACCATGACGGCGCGGCACTACGGCCTCACGGCGCTCCAGCCCCTCGACTTTGTCTACGGCCAGGATCTCAATGACAAGGAGCAGACCAATACGTTAAAAAACGCGGTGCGGCAGCTGAGACCACTTTTCCTTGTGTGTCGGTGGCCCCACAAGAATGCCGGCGACGCACAATTTGGCAACCTCGATGACCTGTACAACCTCGGAGCCTTGGCTTGCCGTGAACAATGTCACCATGGTCGGCTATTCCTTGGAGCACGACCCACG